TCAGTACTCCTCTTAGAGGCCCAAAGTGAACTCAATAAAAGTTTATCTATGAAGGTGTGCAAGTGAAGGTGGTAGGAATGTTAATTTGGATAACATATATGGGTTGAAGAGGAACACCTATCTGGAAAAAACTGTTTTTCCCTCTTCCTCAGTCCTTTTGTGTAAAGATAGGCAATGTGGCTTTGGAGAGCAAGTATCTGCCATATAATCTTCTCTAGAAGTCAGCATCAGCAAAGAGGGAATGAAAAACAAATATAATATAGCATTTAGTCTAAAAGATAAAAAGTACATGTATTATCTTACCAGTTTCTCAAAAAAATTATTTATATTTTAACAACTTCTGGTGAGAATTTGTTCTTTTTCATCCTGGTTTTAGTAGAAACTCAGCAACCTATGGGTCTTCTATAAGGCATAATTAGGGGGCTTATAAAGTTGGAAGATGGGAGTTAGAAACATTCACAAGTAAATGCATTCAACGGTGGCTGCAAAGGGTATAGGGCACATGCTAGATATTCAGGAAGCTTCAAAGGCTGAAAGTGAGGCACAGTGAGCTTACAGAACATAGTGGAACCCAAGGAACCATTTTTGAGATAAATGCCCTTATTCAAATGCCACAGACACACTGTTTCTCTAAACAGAAACACTTGAGGCCCTGGAGTTTTTATACTAGAGCAAAAGATTTGGGTCAGAATCAAAGTTTTAAAGACTTTTTATTGAAGAAGTTCAAAGATTCATTGGCTAGCAGCCAAGTGTGGTCTGATTTGTTTGCATTTCCTCTGGGAACTCACAGGCAAGTAAGGAATTGGCCAGCCTTGATGATGAGGGTCACCCAATCCCCTGTGGGTCTTTTCTCCTTGGGCAGTTACAAGGTAGAGAAGGAGAGCCAGGGGGAACTCAGTCTCTACAAAGGCTGAGTTCAGCAGCTTTGCCAAGCTTGCAGTTCTCTCCTGAATGAAGGAGTCTCTCTCCCCCAATATCTTCAGTGTCTCTCAGTATAAGAACCTGGTGTTGATGAGTACATCAGTGAGTCCACTGTGACTCAAGACAGCAAGAGTAGGGTGAGCTAGGAGATGTTACTCCTTTCTTCCCTCTTCCAGTGATGGTCAAAGGACCTGTTCAGACTCAGAGGCATTATGCAGGTGTGCACATGGGCCATTTGTCCACATTCAAGGTCTGGGGATGTTACGTTTAGCCAAGAATCTTTCACACAATTCTGTTATCTGTAGTTAGCTCAGAAAGAGTTTTAGGAAATTCATCAACTAGGTTTAACTTTTGAAAAGGAAAAATAAAGATTTTTTTTTTGGCTATGATTTTGGGTGTTAGAAAAGAAAGTGTTTGCACATCCACATGTGTGCACAAACATCATGAAGGTCCCTCTCCTTTCCTTGAGATTTTTTGATCTCTTTGGTAGGAAAGAACAAAAGCATGAAGGGATACGTAATTGAAAAAAAGATAAGGAGGAAGAGAAGTCAGAGAGATTGAGGAATGTGAGTCTCTGGTTCTCCTGTACTGATGAGTTCTGCCATGTGACCCATACTGTTGCTGAGCAGATTTCGTGACATCTTCAGTGGGTTAAATGTTCAAGAGGGGTGGAGGTCATACATATAGTAGGGCAAGGGGTGAGTAGGCTGGAGACTCAAGAGTGAAGATGCTCATTACTGTGTTGAGCAGTAGGAAGGACACATTCAATTCCCTGCCCTTTCCAAATAAATGATGAGGGAAGGGATCTTCATCACATAAGATGGAGAAAAGCACCCTGCTGAGATCTGGGTGATTGAGTTTGGGAAATGGCCTTTGGCCTGATAACTAGCTAGTTGACCTCTCCAGAAATGCCTGTTGTCAGATGAGACACATGGGGTCTGAGGCAAGCCCTCATTTTTGTAGGGCCTTACTGGCCAGAAGTGACCTTGTACAACATCACTGGTTGTCCTATTTTGTTCTAGGGGAACTGCACTCAGGGACCTGGCCCTCCTATGAGCAACCGTCCCCACAACATGGCTAGAGCTTCCTCATTCTTTTTTTTTTAATCACTTCATTGACTCATTGACTGTATGGTCCCTTTATGAGATGAAGATCTCTTCCCTTGGCTCAAAGAGAGCTAAAATAGGGGACACTGGAGGGATTGAGTGTCTCTAAACTTGAGAGCACCTGGGACCAAATGTACATGTGTCTCAAGGCCTCTCCCCTGTGTCTCTGTGTGGCCTTGGCTTCCCTTTTCTCTCCTATCTCAGAGACTCAAGGTTGGCTGATCTGAACCTGGGTTCATATATTTTTTAGGATTCTGTTTCTCCATTGGCTAAAAGAATGGCATTCACCTGCAGTGCTCTTTTTGCCCACTTTTACCTCCAGGTTTCAGGAACACTCCTGCCCCATATTGGTGCTTCCAGATCATACTGTGTTACTGGAGAAGAGGTTTGGGAAAGAAAAGGGCCAAAAGGGGACCTAATAGATGTTGCTTCTAGAGGTAGAGACTCTTAATTCTTCCTGGGAAAACTGGGCCTAATATTCTGGAAATTATAGTTCTAGGTCAGCATCTAGATGATTGACCTTAGAGATAAAATTTCAGAGAGCTACTTTAGAAGGCAGTTAATTGAGAGATGAGAAATGGAAGAAGTGCAGCAAATATGAAATTCACAGCAATGGCAGGATGATATGGGTTACCTTGTGCCACTGGCTCTGCAGTGAAGGCAGATGTCCTTCAGGCACTCATAGCTGGTGAGGATGGAACTTGGCTGAAAGCCCCAGGATGATGGAAATTTGAAAAGAAGAGCAGTGTGGATATGCTAAGTGCCCAAGGGAGAAATGGGTAAAATCAATTTGAAAGTTAGAAAAGATAAGAGGTAACAACAAGAGTCAGGTAGTTAGGGGATGGGACCGAGGATCCTATATTTTTAATAGAACCATCCACCACCCCTGCAGTTTCTGATGCAACTAGCTCATGATCCACATTCTGAGGTCCTCTACCATGGGTAGTGCCCGAATGCCTCCTATGTTACTCTCAGCATGTGGCCATGAACTTTGCATTCAGCAATGGAACCACAGGAAGATAAGGGAGCAGCCAGCCTTGAACATTCTGGTCCACTTCGCAGAATCCACTGTCCCGCAGAGGCTACCCCTATGAAGAGGTTAATGTGGCTTCTTTCTTCAGTGGAATGTTTGAGTCTCAACCTAGGATGAAATTCAGCACAATCTCTCTTAATTACTCATGTAATTGGGATTTGCTTGCTCTGAATCTAAGACTATAGAACAATTGCAATATTGAGAAGTTCTCATTTGTCATATTTTGGGAGGAAAGATTGACTCATATTGCTACTAATGTCTGAAGCCTGTAGAGAAGCAATTGCTAAAAATATCAGATTTCTTCTTTCTTTCTTTTTTTAAATTTATTTTTATGTAGTGCTGAGGATCGAACCCAGGGCCCCACACATGGTAAGTGAGTGCTCTACCACCGAGCCACAACCCCAGCTCTCAGGTTTCTTTTTGAGATGATGAAAGTGTTCAAAAATTGACTATGCTAATGGTTGTACATCTCTGTGCATATATAAAAACCCATGGAGTTATATACTGTAAATAGGTGAATTGTATATTATATAAATTATATCTCAGTGAAATTGTTTATTATGTCCCATCATCCTATTTATGGAGCACTAAATATACCCCTTTTGATAATTTTGAAATAAATATTTTTAGAATTCTATTCTTTTGAGAAAAGTAATAGGAGACTGATTAGTGATAATATTTATTAATATTATTAATGGTAATAAATCATTTAAAAAGTTCTAGATTATAATTTCCAATATATTTTAATGCATCTATGTCAATTTCATTGAAATAGTCACAGAATTTAAAACTTGGGACTTAATGGGTTAAAGAAAATAGATTTGAGATGTCCATAAAACATTTAATTTTTTTTTGAAGAATGGATTTCTTAATATATTTTTAAATAATTCTGATACAGTATTCTATAATATTTGACTCAAATCAGTAATGACTCTTTCACAACTTTACTTGTTATCCTATTATCTGTCCAGATAATTACTGAGGTCTGACACAATTTCAGAATGAAATTTTCTATATAGAAAGTTAGCCCTGACCCTGAATCCCAGCAGACTCCTCCTAGTCTGGCTGACTAGATCACTCTTGGGGCCCATGTTATACAGATTTCTGGTCTTTATGTAGTCTTGATTTTGCTTCACATTTTTTTTTTTGGCTTAGAGATTATTTCTTCTGAAATCCATGAACTTAGATACATTCAAAATTTCTAAAGAGAATCATTGAAAAGTCATTTTTCAGTCTATTAGAAGTTATTGCTTATTGAATTATGAATAGGTTCCCTTACAAAAAAACCTACAGTGAAAAAATTGCCCAGAGCTGCTCTTCTATGATGCATTGAACACAGAACTATGGAACTAGAAAGATTCAAGACCTTGTACTACTCTCTGCTTTTACAGTTGGAGGACACTGAGGCCCATAGAGGTGAAGTATAAGGAAATCATCAGGTGGTAGGAAATCACCAGGTGATAGGCAGGCTTAGACTGAGCCTCCTGACTCTTGGCTCTAGATTATTATTATTATTATTATTATTATTTTATTTTTATTTTTTTTTGGTGGGAGGGAATACTGGGGATTGAACTCAGGGGCACTTGACTACTGAGCCACATCCCTAGCCCTATTTTGTATTTTATTAGAGACAGAGTCTCATTGAGTTGCTTAGTGCCTTACTAAATTGCTGAGGCTGGCTTTGAACTTGTGATCCTCCAGCCTCGCCTCCAGAGCCGCTGGGATTACAGGCATGCAACACCATGTCTGGCCTTGGCTCTAGAAAATAATTTTCAACATATTTTAATGCATCTATGTCAATGGCTCTTTCCATGTCCTACTCTATGAAAGCTGAAAAGAAAACAAGACCTCAAATACCCAACTCCCCAAACCTAAACTCAAAACATTTATGGCTCTGCACTTCTCCCTGGTGAGCTATGAGACCTGTGGGTCTGCTCCTTGACTTCCCTCATAGGATGGCCCCCAAACGCCAATGTTCGCTCCAGTCTCAAACAAAAAAACCCAAACTGCCTGCCGCCCCTGAGCAGGTGAATTCATCGGCCTCTCTGGGTTTGCCGAAGGGAGAAAAAGAACAACAAGAAGCAACTGAACATATCGATGAAGTACAAAATGAAATAGACATACTTAATGAACAAGCCAGTGAGGAGATATTGAAAGTAGAACAGAAATATAACAAACTCCGCCAACCATTTTTTCAGAAGAGGTCAGAATTGATCGCCAAAATCCCAAATTTTGGGGTAACAACATTTGTCAACCACCCACAAGCGTCCGCACTGCTTGGAGAGGAAGATGAAGAGGTGCTGCATTATTTGACCAGAGTTGAAGTGACAGAATTTGAAGATATCAAATCAGGTTACAGAATAGATTTTTATTTTGATGAAAATCCTTACTTCGAAAATAAAGTTCTCTCCAAAGAATTTCATCTGAATGAGAGTGGTGATCCATCTTCAAAGTCCACTGAAATCAAATGGAAATCTGGAAAGGATTTGACGAAACGTTCAAGTCAAACGCAGAATAAAGCCAGCAGGAAGAGGCAGCATGAAGAACCAGAGAGGTTCTTTACCTGGTTTACTGACCATTCTGATGCAGGTGCAGATGAGTTAGGAGAGGTCATCAAAGATGATATTTGGCCAAATCCATTGCAGTACTATTTGGTTCCTGATATGGATGATGAAGAAGGGGAAGGAGAAGAAGAAGATGATGATGATGATGAAGAAGAAGGATTGGAAGATATTGATGAAGAAGGGGATGAGGATGAAGGTGAAGAAGATGAAGATGATGATGAAGGGGAGGAAGGAGAGGAGGATGAAGGAGAAGACGACTAATTGAACACTGATGGATTCCAACCTTTTTCTTTCTTTCTTTTGTTTTATGTTTTTTTCTTTTGTTTTTTGTTTTTTTAATTCAGTCCCTGGGAGCAAGTTGCAGTCTTTTTCCCCCCTCCCCCCCACCCCCTTGTGCTCAGTCGCCCTGTTCTTGAGGTCTCTTTTCTCAAACCATGCTTCTCAACTTATTTTGGGGGGAAATACCTTGAGCAGAGTACAATGGGAAAAGAATCTCTACACCCTTCTGTTCGAAATTCATTTTTATCCCTTCCTGTCTCAAAACAAAAAACAAAAAACTGTATGGAATCAACACCACCGTGCTCTGTGGGAAAAAAGAAAAACCTTCTACTCCTTTCACTCTGCTGGAAGTTGGAGGGTGCTAGGCCCCTGTGTAGTAGTGCATAGAATTCTAGCTTTTTTTCCTCTTTTCTCTGTATGTTGGGCTCAGAGATTACACTGTGTCTCTATGTGAATATGGACAGTTAGCATTTACCAACATGTATCTGTCTACTTTTTCTTGTTTAAAAAAAGAAAAAAAAAAACTTAAAAAAATGGGGTTATAGAAGGTCAGCAAAGGGTGGGTTTGAGATGTTTGGGTGGTTAAGTGGGCATTTTGACAACATGGCTTCTCCTTTGGCATGTTTAATTGTGATGTTTAACGGACATCCTTGCAGTTTAAGATGACACTTTTAAAATAAAATTCTCTCCTAATGATGACTTGAGCCCTGCCACTCAATGGGAGAATCAGCAGAACCTGTAGGATTTTATTTGGAATTGACATTCTCTATTGTAATTTTGTTTGTTTATTTTTAAATTTTCTTTTTTTGTTTTCACTGGAAAGGAAAGATGATGCTCAGTTTTAAATGTTAAAAGTGTACAAGTTGCTTTGTTACAATAAAACTAAATGTGTACACACACACACACACACAAAAACATTTATGTCTGAAACCAAGTAGTAACAATTTCTGGAACACAAAGGGACTACCCCAGCCTGCTGTAGAAAGGAAATAGGACCCTCTTAGCAGAGAAACTGGCTTCTCAGAGATAGAAGGAGCTGAGTCATTCCCTGGGGACCATCCCACAATCTCTTCCTTCACAAGTGACACAGGGCCGGAAAAAGTGCTTCTCTCCCTAAAACAACCAAATTGCTACTTCCGCACTAGCCTCCCGCACTCACTTTGTGCCAAGCTTTGGCTCCCACCCAGTCCCTCCTTGAGTTGGGAGCCAAGCCCCAGACTCCCTTGTCCTAGGAACTGGTCCAGAAGGCCTTAGTAGCCGGCAAAGAAGAGCTAGCTGTATGTCACAGCCTGGGAGGGCCGTCTGCCTGGGTGGGCTGTCAGGACACTCCTGTGTGGAGATTTGCTCCAGCTCAGCAAAGTGAGGACAAGTAAGGAAAGGCCATGTTAGTAGCCTTGCTAGAGACTGTGAGTGTTCACTCTAGCTGAGCTCTCCTTTCTGGGAATGGAAGGAATTTGATGTCACTAGTAGCTTTCTTCAGGAGTAACTCCTGGGATTCTGGAACCACACAAGCTCTCCCGAGACCTGGGACTTTACACAGATGAGGCTGAAATTGGGACAGAGTGTAAGCATGTGCAGGTAACTTCTCTCCTTTACAAGTTTCTTCTCTCTTCCCTTCCTTGGGAGGACAGTCCCTGCTTTGTCAGACAGCAGACACTCTTTGTGCCTTTAAGATTTAGTTTTAGGATTGCCAGGATAGAATGGTCAGTTCTTTGATTTGATTTGTAGGTAAGTTTTTCTTGGCCGATTTTCTTTCAAAGGGCATGGAGAGCATGTGGAAGCCCACTTGCATATATAGTACAGACCTATATTTCCCCTAGATACACTTATCCCTCAACCTTTGACCTTTCACATATGGGTCACTGTCAAGAGCATGGTAACGTTTTCCACTCTCAGCAAGACTCCACTTTCTTATGTCGCAGCAATGTTTTTCAAAATGGAGCACTTGTGAAACCCTAAGTTATGCCAGCAGACCTCTCAGGGATGCCAGACCTTGAGTAAGAAGCACATGAAGTTAAATTCTGTTTTTTCACATAAGGTGCTCAATTAGCAGCAGTGACACTATAAACACCCAAACTCTAAAACCAGATGGCATCGCTTGGCTATAAGGTCATTCCTACATGACTCAGAATGTACTTATGTTGATTTTAATTCTAAAAAGTCAGAATGAACAAAAACTTTAAAACTTCCTTTGGAACTCATGGACTGTTCCTCAACTTTTCTCCCTGCCTCAGAATTACAGGGATTTGGCGTGGTGGCTCAGTGGTAGAGCATTTGCCTGGCATGTGTGAGGCCAATTCTCAGCACCACATACAAATAAATAAATAAAGGTCCATCAATGGCTAAAAAGAAGAAAAAAAAGAATTACAGGGATTTATAGATGCTATTTTGAGAAATAATGTATCTTCTTTCCTAACAAGCAAGATCCTTACCTAAGGAAAGAGCAAGAAGCTGGACACAACTTGGGCTGTGGCTCACTTAGCAGGTCAGGCTGGATAGAGGAAATCCATTCAACCATACAACTTTGAGTTAGAGGGCTTTGGCGAGCCTCTTTCTTTCAAGGCCATCTGATTCATGGCTATTGTTGAGATCCCATTGTTGGACAGCTCCCACAAAAGTGATGTCTTCACAGCCAAAGTTAGCCACAATTTTCACTGATTGGTTGTACTCTTGACATCTGGGATCTTGTTGAGTTAAAAAGAAAAAATTCCCAAAGATATTGGGGCAGAGGGCATGTAAGCCAGATTTGAGCTACTGCTGCTGCTGCTGTTGCTGTGAGTGTGTGTGTGTGTGTGTGTGTGTGTGTGTGTGTGTAAGAAGTTCATTGAAGCAGCCAATGAATGAACTGATTTGCTTCTGAAAAATGTACAGATGGGGAGAGATAGGAGTTTAGAGAAGCACAGATGGGAAAGTTCTTTCATTTTGGTTTATCACTGAGCAGAGACCTGGAGTTGCTGTCAAGACTCACAGATGCAAACACAGGGAGGAAGAATGATACAGACACATGACAGGAGGCAGCCAGCAGGGAATGTAGTTCTGCAGGGTTCTGACACATGAGGAATGACACGTACCAAGGGGAGGGCTGGGAATTTCAGCACAAGTATCTAGTTTCCTATGTGAGGCCAGAGCTGGGTGTTCAAGGATGATTTGAAGACCCAGTGATATTTCCAGATGATTTATACAAGCTTCTCCTACCGCCCCCACCCTTAAAGAATGAGTCATGTCTCTGTACTTGATTTGCTGAGCCAAGTACTGCTCTCTGAAGTCTTTATGCAGCTTGATCAATTGAGTGATTTTTTTTTCTTTTCCTTCTCCTTTTCTTCTTCTCCTCTCTCCCCCATCCTTGGTACTGGTATGCAAGTGCTCTACTACTGACCTATATCTCTAGCTCAATTTTGCTTGTTTTGAAATCAATTTTCCTGTTCCATCATTTTTACAAAATGGTAGATAGACTTTATTATTGATATTACCTAATGTATAATCTCAATTTTGCTTTTGTGGTTCTCATTGGAAAAATTTTATAGAGCTCTGAGCACAGTGCACATCTACAGAGTAATCTCCTTTTGAAAATATCTGCTACCCTCTGTCCTTTTTTTTTTCATGGCCACCAAATAATGCAGTTGGAGTCCTTAGGATAAACCAATATCACTATGTTATAAGTTTCCTTCTTTGGTCACTAGAATGTAATGGAAAGTGTTTGAAATTTGTTGGCCTTTCAGATGCCTTCAGATGAAACTCAAGAATAACTTGAGTTTAGATGCCAAAAGTATGTTTGAAAAGTATACATGGGCTGGGCATAGTGGCGCGTGCCTGTAATCCCAGCAATTCGGGAGGCTGAGGCAGGAGGATCATGAGTTCCAAGCCAGCCTCAGCAAAAGCAAGGTGCTAAGCAATTCAGTGGGACCCTGTCTCTAAATAAAATACGAAATGGGGCTGGGGATGTGGCTCAGTGGTTGAATGCCCCTGAGTTCCATTCCTGGTTATCCCTCTGTACCCAGAAAAAAAAAGAGTATACATGGGATTGGTTTGGCTCTGTATTTTTAGATGAGTGTGGGATTACTTGCCTGGACAACCCAGCTCATTCTAGCTGCTGTTAATAAACTTGGGATACATCCAGCTGCCCTTGTAGTAGAGAACCCATTGGTTCCCTCACTGGGGGAGCCTAAGGCAGTGGAAAATGTTTCAGTCCACGCCACTATACTTGCTGAGACCTGCTGATGGAAACACTGATCTTTCCTTGCCTGGAATAGGAAGGACCGAGTTTCTTTAGAGACTTGTGGGCTGTCAAAACCCAACACAACCTTCTTTCTACCACCACTGCTGTGCTTGTGGCCTGCTATGCCTGCAGCCCTCTTTGGCTGGGGATCCTGCCTTCTTTCCCCATTATCTCACATGGGCGAAAAGCAGTTCCACCCATTCCTTTTGCATTTGAGTTCTCTATAATGTCCACTTATTTAATGGAAAAATGAGCCAATTTCTAGAATGATGTCTTGAACTAGAAGGAAGTCCTTAGTAAGACGAGTATACCTAGAAAGGCCTTAAAGCCTCTACCTGTGTAAATCCAGCTACTGCCAGACCAATGTCCAGCAGGCAGATGGAAGGAAGGGGAGCACTGTAACTGCAAATTCTATCAGGACTGCCAAATGGCCAGTTAACTACCCCAGTCCAGAGGTGCATAGGGCATTATCATTCAGCCCTTGAGTCAGAGAGGAAGACCAGGTCACGTTTGTCAAATGTGGAGAACAGGGACTGACTTAACTCTTCCATATACCTTAGTGGACATCCTTCCCATGAACTTACTCTGTTCTGTGGGTGAGAAGATTAACTGGATAGTTTGCATGATGTTGACATAGGAGCCAGTTGAGGCTGAAGGGCCAAAGTAGGCTTAGTGGGTATGGTGTCACACCTTCTATAAACCATCTCTCACTGTTCACAATGCTTCTGCTAGAGAGAGACCATGGGGCTGAGCTAGTGTGTTTTATTTTTGTTTTTGTTTTATTGTTATTGTTTTTTGAGACAGGGTCTCTCTAAGTCACCCAGGCTGGCCTCAAGCTTGCAATCCTCCTGTCTCAGCCTCAGGAGCAGCTGGAATTACAAGTGTGTGCTACCACGTACAGCTTAGTGTGGTTTACATGATCATAAGATGTAAGCATCGTGCCCTAATGTTGATTAAGACTATGATGGCAAGATGCCCAAGGTCTCAGTGTGAAAGTGAGGCTGAGAAATTTAAGTGCCTGTGTGTTAGCTTCCACTGATCCCCTCCAAGACACACCCACATGTGCTCCCTGGGGCTACTTCCCCTTGGGGTGTGAGTGTTGACCTCTTGCTCTTCATTTTCTTCTTTCTTCCAATACTTTTACTCTAACTCCAGGGAATTTTCTTTTTGAATCACAACTCCAAGACTTGTTTGAAGGGTAAATTGAATTTATTAATGAATCAGAGAAAACAGCACAAAATGACCATGAAAAGCCAAGAAAGATGAATAGGGTTTCACTCTGCCTGACTCTCCTGTGCTTATTGGAATAAAGCCTCCCTGGGTCAAAAGGATGGAGCCCCTTCATGAGGGAAGGCTGGTCCTGCAGGGGGAGCATAGTGTTCCTCTGCTTCTGTGTTATGACTCAAAAACTCTCTCTCCATACCCTGTGGAAACTTTCTTTCCACTGGGTTATAAGTCTGCTCATCTAAGACCTAAACAACTTAGAAAGAATGTTTTTAAAGACATTTTTTTTTTATTTTTAAGCATACTTTTTCACACCTTTGGATTTAATTTTATTTTGTTTGAAGCAGCATATTTAGAGAGAGATTCAAGCCTGACCCATTTTTAATGCTGCTAAACGATCTAGACCTAGGTTTATCCCTTTCACACTCAGAGAGAAAATATTAAAATCTTACATTAGACTTTTCAACATTAGCATGACCATACATCATCTCATTTGATCCTCACAAGAGCCCTGTGAGGTAGGCAGACAGGCATCATGGCTCCAGAACACAGAGGACAGAGTTGTAACTGGGAGAGGTGATAAGTGAATTCATGTCCTCTGGCTCCTGGTCCAGGGCTCCTTCCACTCTAAGATGAACTGAGCTCATCATTATGAGCAAAGCAGCCTTTTTGCTTAGAATAAATGAACTGTCCTTTGGGCTTGCAAACACAGGCAATTTAAAGTACAGACCTCATCAGAGAGCTACGGAGTAAACACACTTGAGCTCAGTTCAGCATCAGCATTAGATGGATGAATAGGACAGAACATGGACATCTTTGACAAGGGTTTCTGCTTGTTTTCTTGATTCTCACCTGGACCATGTTGGATGTTGTAACTTTAAAGCAGCAAAGTCCAGGAGGAGAGTAGCCATTCAAAGGACTTTTTCATCTAGTAATTTATTGATTCCTTCACAAATCCTCTTGAGGTTGGGCCTACAGTCTCCATCTAAACTATAGAGGGTGGATAGGAACTCCACATCAGCAAAGTGGTTGAAGACATGGTTGATGCGCCCATGGGTCCTGGGCGTCAGGTGCCGCTGCACCAGTTCATGAACCAGTTCCTTGCACTCATGCAGGAGCTTGGAGAGCACGTTCTTATCGAAAGTGTATTCTACCTCATAGAAGCTGACCATAGTCATGGCGGTCTGGTTCAACTTCTTCCGGAACTTCTCCACAATAACAACCTCTTCCTGATTGAACTGGTTGTTCCTATAGAGAATCCCAATTTTGATTGCCACCTTGATTAAGTCTTTCATTATCTTGTGGGCTTCCTTCTTGTTGTGGGTGTGCTCTTTGGTGACTTTGTAGAGCTCATCAAAGATCTCACTGCTGGTGTCGTCAATCAACATGTTGACCACAGTTTTGCTTGCTATTTTGCTCAGAATCTTCTTCTGGGCTTGAATGGCAAGACTCTTTGAACTAAACACATCAGAACCTATAGTAAGAAAAGAAAGAAATGTTTTAGGAATATGAGACTTGTTAATTATGTTTCTAAAAACTCATGTCTTTATATACCATAACTCCCTAAGTGAACTCCACACAAGCCTGGTGGCCCCACATTCTCTTCACATGCTGTGCCTCTTTGACCTTTGGAACCTTCTTAACTGTTCTTGTGCTCTTTGCAAGGGAAGTGGTCTCCTCTTGTCCAGGCTACATCTCACTATTTTGGATCTTCAAGCATAAAATCTTTTTTTAAAAAAATTTTTTATTGTTGGTTGTTCAAAACATTACATAGTTCTTGACATATCATATTTCACACTTTGATTCAAGTGGGTTATGAACTCCCATTTTTACCCCGTATACAGATTGCAGAATCATATCAGTTACACATCCATTGATTTACATGTTGCCATACTAGTGTCTGTTGTATTCTCTACTAGCTCATGGAGAACTCCCTACAATTGCTGCCACCATGGAAACATTCAGTTTCACAAATTACACAGGAGCAAATTATTGCATTAACGACAGAGATCAGTAGAACCAAAGCAGTAGGCACCAAGGGCCTTCCATGGCCCCAGTAAGCTCTCTCTCCAAAGTCTAAGACTATAGGATCTTTAAGCAACTTGACATCCAAGTGAACTTGACATAGTCAGGATTTTCCCTTCAGCCTCAAGCAAAGAGAATAAACACATATCATATAGAACATAAAAGGAATGAATTGTGTCTCCTGACTACCCCAAGAAAGCTCTGATTTCCTGATTTATGCTTTTCCAGAGTTTGAGACAAATGTTATTCTTGCCCAGTGTGATCATCCACCGTGGTCTCCAGACTTTGTGTGAATAACTTTTGCTCAAAAAAAAAATCAAATATGTCCCCCTATGACAAATATTTAGAAGCACTAGGATTTTCAAAAGATTGTGCTGTAAGCTTTAAAGTCAGTAATGGCCCTGTCACTGAAACATGTCTATGTCTCCTCAGGTGATTATTCCAAAAGGAACAATGAAATATAGATGGATCTGTCTTGAAATATAAAAAAATGAGTCATTACTTTATAGTCACAGCTTCTAAAAACTGCCTAAGAATAAGGTCTGTTATCATTTGGATCTTTAATGTACCCTGAAAAGCCTATGTGTTAGGCAATGCCAGAATATTCAGAGGTGGGATGATGAGATTATGACAGCTGTAATTCATCAGTGGATTAATCCATTCAATAGATTGATAATTTGAAAGGACTACTGGGTGGTAAACTGTAGTCTGGTGGGAATGGCTGGAGAAAGCAGGTCACTGGAAGCATGCCTTTGGGGACTATATCTTATCCATGGATTCTTGTTCTCTCTCTGCTTCCTGGCTGCCATGACCCTCTGCCATGATGTTCTGTTTCACCTTGGTCTAATTTTTAAAGAAGACCTTGCTGTGCACCCTTTAAATGGACAATAATGGATATCATATCACAATGGTACTTGAATTACTTCATATTTCTGATCTCTAGAAATATAAAATGGTGCATTAGTGTTTTAAGCCACTAACCTTGTGATAAATTGTTACAGAAGCAATCGGAAATTAATTCAGGTGAGTAGAATTCAAACTTCCTATTTTATTTTTTGAGACAGAATCTTACTGTTGTCCATGCCATCCTTAAATTCCTGCACTCAAGCAATCCTCCTGCCTCAGCCTCCTGAGTAGCTGGAACTGTAGGTGCATGTTCATTTCCCAATATTATTTGATCAGGGAAATCTTTCTGTCTTCTTAGTAGAGCAATCACCTGTCAGGTTTGCCAGCAATCAGGAGTTTCCCAGATAGTGGACTTCACTGATAAATTTGAAAAAATCCCAGGCAAATTAGGACAAGTTGGTCACTTTACTTTTATTCTTGAAGTATTAGTGATTGTGCATCATTGAGATTAAAAAATGAAAAACAGAGATGCAAAAAAAGAAAACATTTCAGAAAGTGGAAGCAGATAATGTTTAATTAATGGGTAAGATGCTTCTAGATATCTCAGCAGGGTAAGCTGTACACTCTACATATTGCCACACTTCTCACCCCTTTCTACCTGCTTTTCAATTTTAGTGTCATGGGCTGGGGGTGTAGGTCAGTGGTTGAGGGCTTGCCTAACATATGTGAGGCCTTGAATTTGATCTCCAGCACTGCGATTAATTAATTGAACTAATTCTGGAGTCAACTCTAACCCTTTTTATCCCCTTTAGACCAAGGACTCTTTATTCCTTTCTTTTCCTATAGTTATTTAGCACTTACTATTAGCTTGATTCTGTATGAAGTATTATGGAAAAATCCCCCCAAAAGTATTCAGTTGGGTCTTATTCTGAATATGGTTCTGCAAGGAGGCAAGATATAGATAACAAAACAAAATGCAGAAACATGAAAACAGCCTAAATCAGCATGAATGGTAATTGTTGGCATGAGCTCTGAGGACTCTGAAGGTAGATTTGAATGTAGGTAGATGGAGACAGCTACAATGTTAGAAAGCAGTTTCTAAAGTCAGGATACAGGCCAGTAATTTCCACCAAGATGGTAAGTCCCTTGGTGGTTTCCCTGATGTTTCCAGTCATCTTTCTTGTAACAAAAAAAAAACCCAAAAAACAAAACAAAAACAAACAAAACTTATTTTGTACCTACACGTGAATTGGGAGTACAAACTTCTAGGGTGAGAGCTTAGAAGGATCGCAGTGTGAACAACATCTCTGAAGACTTAAAGATCAAAACTCTACAGCAGAAAAACTCAAATGTTATAGATAAACAAAATCACTGGAAAGCTTTAAGGAAAAAAATTCACCACCAACACCAATGATCCCAAGCTGTCACAAGCTCCCTAAGTGATTATGACATGTTAAATGTGCCCCACCATGTATCCTGTGAGTCCTGTTCTGTCCTCTAGGATAGAAGGATCTGTAGTCAAGTTAAATGAGTTTGTAGATGACTAAATATTAAGGCTGGCTCTTGATGGTTCACCATACAAGTAGTTTACTAAGGCTTTGAGCAGTACTGCGAGAAAGATAGCTGCATGTATAGTTTTATTTAGTCCACTTCCCAAACTTTCTGGAGACATGCACACACACACACACACACACACACCACATCTTTTACATATAGAAAATAATGGGAAGGATGAAGAGAAATAAAATAAAGACAGGCTGGTCAACAGAACACTTTTAATACCTCCCAAAGATATGTCAGGGCACAGTGGGGAGATTCCACTTCTTATGGTTTGGATATGAGGTTATGTCCCCCCTCCAAAACTCCTGTTAATGCAGGAATATTCAGAGGTAAAATGATTAGATTATTAAACTGTAACCTGATCAGTCCATCCTAGTTTGAATGAACTGACTGGGTGGTAACTGTTGGCAGGTGGGGTTTGACAGGAGTAGGTGGACCACTGAGGGCATTCCCTGGAAAGTTTGTTCTTCCTACAGCCCCTTCCTGTCCTTTTTCTGCTTCTGACCCATCTATGAGATGAGCCATTTTCCTGTGCTCTGGGCCCTTCCCATGATGTGCTGCATCACCTTGGGCCCAGAGCAATGTGGTCAGCCACCTGTGGACTGAGACATCTGAATCTGTGAGCCCCAAATAAACTTTTCCTCCTCTAAGTTGTTCTTGTTGGGTATTTTGGTCACAGTGATGAAAAGCTAACTAAAATACCACCGTTCCACCATGAATACATGATGTTACAATGATTTGAGGGAGAGGATGTGCCCTGAGGGGCAGTCCGATTCAGAAGATTTTGTATAAGCAAGGGAAATCTTGGCCTTGCTTTCATCCATCCTTTTGTCTCAGTCTTCTGCAAAGGGACCGTGTTGGTGACCTATAAGGAAGGGATACTGTAGGCAGAGAGGAAGAGCATGAGTTAGACTTTGAGAGTCAAGGTCAGGAGTATGCTTGGAATATTTGGGGGAATAGGCCTAACTAGTGGACATATGCTTCTTGGTGGAAAATACCAAGATATCCAGGATAGGCCTTGGCAAAACCCGTTTTCTCACCCCTGTATACAATCCTGAGGAAAGCTCTTTTGGCTCAGGATAAATTTCTTTTGACTATGTTTGAACAAAAGTTCCCATTCTCTAGCCACGAAAGGTAAGAGATTAAATATGATACTTCAGAGCCTCTAAACATAGAGCTATAAATATGATTATACAGCAATAATATAGCTCCCCTGACCAGCATAATGAGACAACATTGATGAAGCTGAAAAATCCATCCTTGTAGAAAGAAATGGAAACTTTCTGAACTAAGATTGATGGGAGAGCTCGAGTAAAGGAATGTGAAGTCAATGCTTTGAAAGTAAGTATCTTAGGACATTTATAAAAAAAGGAAAAGTACCAGGACTATGTTGGGAGAATGGTATGACAGGAATAGGGAACTAGTTTAGGGAGACAGAAAGCAAAAGATAATCTAAGTGGGGACTTCACTGGGACTAGTCTGAGTTACTGCTATTATAAATGATGTTCATCCAGAGAATAAGTGATGTTTCCATGATTCTAGAAAACACCAACCTTTCTCAGATGGTGAAATGCCACACTGATGGTGATAAACAGCAAGATCTTACCAAGCCAGATGAATGGGCCTAAAAGAGGCAGATGAGCCTGGTAAGATGAGCATGGTAATAACAAGGTAATAGATTTGAGGAAAGATGAAGTAAATGATGATTATAGAAGATTACAGCCTCTGAGCTGTCAGCTATAGCCTAGGAGAGTACTTTGAGCCTCACCCAGGATGTGGAGGTGGAGAGGGACCAGGGGACAGCTCTTCTGTCACTCACAGGACTCTGCAACTTCTCTACCTCTATAAGAAGGGTGTGGAAAAAACTTGAATATAAATATGTAGAGTTGTATCAAAATTAGATAGCTTGAAATTATGTGTAATAGCCAGCATACAGACAGTATCACTTGACTTCTGTAAACAGCTTAAGATGAAGGCAGGAAAGCAAATTAGCTAAAAAATGTTAAGTAGAAGTTAACAGTGGACATGGTATCCAGACAAAAA